TGGCTGCGAATTGCCTGACTCGTGCGTAGAGTTCAGGCCCTAGGGCTGCGCGAATGGAGGGAGGTTCCGTTTGATGGAATCCAGCTATCGCTTACACCTTTCATACACTTCACGATGGTAGCGCTTGAACGATCAACGGCTAAACGAGTGGAAGAGGAGTCCTTTTGTAAATCGCACTCTCTCTCTCTCTCTCTCCAATGCTGCGCAAAATCTCACTCCATATCCTAACAGGTACACGGGTCAAGGGCGACCCCTGGACAGACCAATTGCGCGTTGTACCGACATGCGGTCTCATTGTAACAGGATTGCTTATGCGCGTGTCAAAGCCAATCAGGTTCTCACCATGCGGGCGCTCACCGTAATGAAACAGAATCATTTCATTGGAGTACGGGGACGAAACTTGGGTGGGAGAGCAGCAGCAGCAACAGCAAACCATTGTTTCATGTTGGCCCGTCCCTTCCGTGTCCTCCTCCTTCTCATCCCCCATCTCGCCCGTGGCCCTCGAGAAACTGTCCACATGCTGAGAAATCTTCGCTGCATCTGGCCTTGTTAGACAACTGTCGAACCTCCGCGCGATTTTCTTGGATGGGCGCCAGGCCCCCCTTCCCTGGCACGCGGGGAGGCCCGTCGCAAATCCAAGACATCTGCGCGGACCACGGACAGTTGATATTCATACCGTTCCTCCTCCGATTACAGAGCTTCGCTGCATCCCGCTAGCTGGTGCGGAAACCAAAACATGGTATCGATACCGCTGCTCCCCGGACCTCTCCCGGGCTGCTTTCTGACCAGATACCTCGGAGCGAATCCGGCGGTGGAGACGAGGGCCTCCCATCGGGCCAAAAAGGTGAAAGCGAGGAAAGGATAGCGGAATGGGCATCGCTCCCTCCGCAGAAGTGAAGCCCAGGAAGAGAAAGTGACAAAGGGCGCAAGCAAGGGAAGCGTGGACAAAAAAACAACTCGATGCAACAGGAGGCGCTGGCTGCTGGACGCAGCTCACCAGAATCCGCTGGGCCGCGGCCTCGACATCTTGGACGAGAAGCTCTCCGCGATCCTGTCCCCACAGGCCATCCGTATGCGCTCTGGGGTCAACGGGGTATCGACGGTGAAGTGCTCGTCGGGATGCCCGTTGTCGCGGCGCGCAGAGGCGATCGCCTGGCGCGCGGCCAGGAAGGCCGAGGAGCCCAGAAAGAAAGGCGGCTCGCCCACCGCGCGGGACGAATGTATGGCCGTGGGGTTCGCGCTGTCCTTGAGCAGCGTCACCCGCATGTCTACGGGCACGTCGTTGAACGAGGGAATCTTGTATGTCCCCGGTCCTCGCGTGAAGAGGGCACCAGGCTTAAGCCAAGGGAACTCGTTGCAGCCCCAGACCACCTCCTCCAGCATGGTCCACCCGATGCCCTGCACAAAGGCGCCCTCGATCTGTCCAATGTCTATCGCTGGGTTCAGACTGTTTCCCAAATCCATGAGGATGTCTGCGCGCAGTACGCGCATATCCCCTGTCAAACAGTCGATCTCTACCTCGGAACAAGCTGCACCATACGTGAAATACCGGAAAGGTGTTGAACCGCGTTCTTTGCAATTGGGGTTATTCCAATCGTAGCATATACCTGGCGTAACGTAGAAACCGTGCGCGGAAAGATCGCACCGATCAAAGTAGCCCGCGTTCACGGCCTTCTTGAAATCGCCTCCGCACGCCTCAAGATACGGAGCCAAACGACCCTTGATCTGCTCGCATGCGTTCAGGACTGCCATCCCGTACAGGTCCGAAGACGCCGAAGCCGCCGTCGGGGATGCGTTGGGCACCGTGTCCGTCGAAGTCTCCCGGATGTAGACGTCCTCGACGGGCACGCCCAGCGCCCTGGCCGCAACCTGGCAGATCTTCGTGTGCAGCCCCTGGCCCATCTCGGTCCCTCCGTGCGTGACGAGCACCGTCCCGTCGACGTAGACGTGCACCAGAGCCCCGGCCTGGTTCATGAACTTCGCCGTGAAGCTGATCCCAAACTTGTTCAGCACGAGAGCGAGGCCCCGCTTGCGCCAGCGGTTTGCTCGGTTGAAGGCCCTCACGTCCTGGGCTGGAAGCGGCCAGGGGGTCTGCGCCGGAGGGGCACTGAGAAAGCCGGTAAAGACGGGGGGACGAGGGCAAGTCCACTCAAGATCTGTCCTCGGACCGCTCCCGGGGTCAGGACGAGGGCAAATCCACTTCAAAGCTGTCCTTGGACCTCCCCCTGGGTCGAAACTGGCCAGTTCCTCGAGCCGCATCAGGCCGTGGCGACGAGGGGGGGCCCTTCCGCCCACTTCGGCCCCCGAGCCGGCTCCAATCCTCGCTACGCCGCGCCACCTCTGCGCTCTCGGAGAGGTCGGCGTACATCCGCCTGACGGGGCAGGCCACGAGCAGCTGACCGAAGTGCGTCCTGTGGAGGCCTCCCGAATCAATGGGGTCAAAGCAGAGTGGATCGGAGGATCGCACTGCATCGCCAGTGCATCGCCAACGCATCGGCGATGCATCGGCGCCGTCGGCGCGGAGAAGATCGGGCCCCGCATCGCCGATGCGTCGGCGACGCGGCTCGATCCTCCAACCCGCTCTGCTCGGACCCCATCGGAGCGACGATCAGAAAGTGGTCTTACAAGAGATGGCGTGGCGATCTGACGCCGAGGCTCACGCGGGCCGCCAGCGCGGAATGCCGCATTGGCAGCGAGGGCGCTGACGCGCGACGCTACGCGCGCAGCTTACGTGCCGATGCCGGTGAAGACGACCCACGTTGCTCTGCGTCGCTCACCTGGGAGGCCCGGAGTCCTGTCGCCCTCCGCGGCGTACAGGTTGCGAGCCCGCATCTCCTGGAGCGATGGGCTCAGAGCCCAGCCGCCCGAGGGGGGCCCAAAATGATCAGGACACACGTGACCATGAAGGGGCAATGAGCGTCAGCCACGTTATTTCGTCAGCGCTGATGGAAGCCTACCAGACAAGCTCGCTCCGAGGAGCACACGAATGACCAGCAACGGTCCTTACGCATGATACTATAGCGACATTACGCGGTGGCTTAAGCGGACCGCCAGCGCAGAACGCTACATTGGAAACGCGGGCGCTTACGCGCAGTCTTACGCGGGAAGCTTACGCGCAAACGTGCGCGAATATTATGAGGTGTGTGTGTATATATACACCAATCAATTTCCCGGGTGTAGAATGTACACCGAGGGTTTGTTTGGCATCGATTGCGAAGGCCTTACGGCCAGTGCCGCCGACCCTGAAGGGGGACGACGACGAATACAGCGACGATGAACATATTCAAACAGCTAAGGAATGGGAGGGAGGAGCAGAGGGGGACAGAGGATTTGAAGGGGAAAGGGAAATAGTGGCGAGGGGAGATAATTAGGAGGAGGGATGAGCTGGATGGCGGAGGAGTCGCTATGGATTCGCCATCTACCAAGATGGGGGTGGTGTCTCGCCACCAAAACAAGAAGACAACGCGGCAACCACTATACTGCGTATACACTGTCGGGCTGCCGACGACGACGACGCTGACGTGGGTCAGAGTCCTCAGGGATGCTTCTTGGGGTCTGGTCAAACCGCTCTTGGGGGCCTCGGGGGACACTGTAGGGGTCTCTTGGGGGCCTCGTGGGGGCCTGTAAAGGCTTCACGGGGGCCTCTCGGGAACATCTTGGGGTCTCTTCGGGGCTTCTTGGGGGCCTCCTCTTAATTCTTCCTGGGAGCACTCGGGGTGGAGGGCTCGGAATATCAATTTTGGTCCGTCGTCTCGGCACCGTCTTGGAGCCGTCTTGGGGGGCATTTGGGGTCCTTTTCAAGGCGTCTTGGGCCGTCTTGGGACACTCTTGGGCCGGTTTGGGTCGCTCGTGGAACCCCCTGGGGCTGTCTGGTGGCGATCTGGGAGGCCGCTTGGGCCGTCTTGGAGCGTCGGGAAGCGGGAGAGGCGAGAACGCCGAAATCATGCAAAAACCGATGGACAATCTACGAGGTTCGTTCTCGAGGCACTCTTGGGACTGCTACTGGAGTCCTCTTTGAGCGTCTTGTAGAATGCTTGGGCCGTCTGAAGGCCGTCCAGGCGTCTTGGATATGTCGTTCGGCGAATCGGGGCCCTCGTGGACTGTCTTTGGGGGCATTATTGGCCGGTCTGGATGCTTTTTTGCGGCCCGGGAGCCCCAGGAGGGGAAGCGAATCTGACCCAGGACCCCCCCCCTCCCGGCGGGGGAGGGATCAAGGGAAAGGGCTTCCCTTCGAGTTTATGACCACGTTGCTCACTATCGGTGTGGCTGACGCGCTTGACAAGGAGAGCCCAGCAAAGGAGAGAGGGGCGGCGACGGGCACAGAGAAATGACAGCGCAGAGAAAAAGGACGACAAAGACGACGGTGAACGAATGACGGCAAAACCGGTTCGAATGGAAAAGCCCCTCACGCTGCATTTGAATCGCGCGCGCTTACACGCAACCTCACGTGGGAAACTTACGCACAAATGTGCACGAATGTTCTGAGGAGTGAATCTATACACCTGTCTACTTCCCGGGTGTAGAATGTATACCAAGGGTTTGTTTGGTATCGAGTTGTCTTCCGAAATATGTGGCTGATATGTACTTTGCATCCCCTCGGCAGCACCGCCCATCTCCATCCTCCTCCTCCTCCTCCTCCTCCTCCTCCTCCTCCTCCTCCTCCTCCTCCTCCTCCTCCTCCTCCTCACACCTCCCCATGCCTTCCCCCGCTCGAAACCGCCGCTGCTGCGCTGCTTGCTGCATGCTGCTGCCGTTGCGTCGCTGCCATCTGCTGCTGTTGCTGCGAACGCCGAGATCAATTCAGCAACTCCCTCGCACAGATCGTGTCCCGTGGGGGGGGGTCATCTACGGTCCCAGCGGTGGCACGCCTGCGTTCGTCTGCACTCCCGCGGCAACAGAGGCCTCTGACTAATCCAGGAAACACGAAAAACAATACGGCCGAACTGGTGTATAACATTCCGGGGCTAGTAAACTTCGCGAGTGTACCAGGCCCAGCGGCCCACCGAAATTGTAGACACCGATGAGGCCACAGGAAATCAACAGGAAATCAGACAGGGCCGAGGAGACTCAGGTTTCCGGCGACGGCACTGCGTTTCAACAGCGGGGCTCGAAGCCGAAGCTTCCAGCTGCCGAGGCAAGGGAGCTTCAAGCTGGGTGGGGCGGGGGATCGCTGGCACTGCAGACGGAGTGGAGCGGGGGCCAGACTGGGTCGCGCTGAGCCCCCCCCCGTTGCCCCACGGCACGTTTGGTTCTGAAGGTGCCTGAACAGATGCGGCCTTGCCCACGCTTGTCCAAACGCGCGCTTGACGTGGCGCGAGGGATTCCTGCCCTCCGTAGACAACAATCCCGAGAACAAGTCGAGCCGAATAGATCGGCGGATAGATACAAAGGCTTCTAGGCGCAAAGTGGCGATCGGAAAAGAAGCAGAGCTCTCCTCGGGCTCGATCTTCAGCTTGCTTGCCATGTGCTCTAAGTACGCCTCTGCCACCAACAGCCCCTGGGGTCCACCAAATCCACGGAAAGCCGTGTTTGAGGTTGTGTTCGTCACGCAATTATACCCAACAGCCCTGACATTCGGGATCTTGTAGACGTTGTCGCAGTGGAATAGCGCGCGCCCTAGGACCTTGGCCAGATGTCCACAAAGAGAGTCCAACGGGCCTGTGCTGCAGACCACATACTCGAAACGAGCCAGCGCAACAACAGGGATCCATTCGCATCTGCGATCGCATCACAACGCCGCCATCGCGGTGCCAGAACGATGCGCTGCTACCAGATCAACTCTCAACAGATATCGTCGAGATCGAGCAGCCGTTCATCAGATCTCCGACCAGCTACCCGCTTCGATCAAAGAGTCAGATTGCATTGGCCATGCACGATAAGGAGGGAGGGGGCTGCGGCTTCCTCGGAACAAGCCCTTGGCAACAACGTTTTGACTAAGATCGGTTCAGGCAATCTGGGAGTGCGATGCAAAACGTGGAACCAGATGGACGGCCCCAGACGCAGCTAAGACCGCTTCGCTACCGCACGTCGGCTGACGACACAGGGCCCAGGGCCAGGCAACCAAGCAAATGTAGGCGCATGGCAGGCTCGGACAGGTCCAAAGAGTAGCCGATATTTGAGTACAGCTGCAGGTCAAGGGCGCGCAACTTTCCGTCAGGGCCCGCGCCAACCTTGTACCTGTAAGCAGCGGCAGGACACGGGGGCGTTCGTTTGGCATCCACGTCTACTCCTCTACTCTTGCACATCGCCTTGACCAGCGCATCCCCCACAGACAAACAAAAAGACGGCATGAGGCGGGGGGGGGCACAGAGGGAGGGGCGCCCTCCTGGAATAAAATGAAGGTGGGTGGTTTGGGAGAGTCCCCCAGGTGTTGGTGCAACGTCGTTGTCGTTGTCGCAGTTGCCGTCGCCATCCCATGAGATCCGACGTTGTGAAACTACTGCAACATCACAGAACAGAATCACGATCGAAGATCCAGACCCCATCTCTCTGCGGCACTGCTCGAGCCCGATCGATCTATGGTAGCCAGTGGCCCGAAAACTGGCAAAAACGCCCGCTGTGCAACAACAGTTGCAACGCCCGTGTCTCATCGGGCTCGGCCCAACCGACCCCCTGGCAGACCATCCCCTTCCGCAACGTCATCCTCGCCTCTCAGGCGTCCCTCCGGCAGCATGAACACGTCTTGGGGGAGGCGAGGGGGACGTCACCTGAAGGGGATGGTTTACCCCGGCCGCCTGACGTCACCTGACGTCACCTGGACGTCAGGTGACGTCACGAGTGGGGACGTCACCTGACGTCAGGTGACGTCCAGGTGACGTCAGGTGACGTCAGGTGACGTCACGAGTGGGGACGTCACCTGACGTCACCTGGGGTCGGTGCGGCCGCCCCTGATCTTCAGGTCGTCCCCGGCGTCGTCGTCCTCTTCGCCGCCGTGGGCGGCGGCGCCCTCGTCGCCGTACTCACGCAGCGGCGCACCCGCGCTGGCGGGGCCACGCCGGCGGGCAGGACGGGGCCGGTCGCCCTGGGCCGGGCCCTCTCTGAGCTCAGCATCGCTCGAGCAGGCTGGCGCCCATCAGCCGCCACGGGGCACCAGGGGCGAGAAGAGGAGGGCCCCAGGTCGCCCAAGGATCGCTCCAGCACGCCCGAAATGGCCTGTGGCCTGCAGACGGCTCCAGGCTCCAGGGGCCCCTACGGCGCCCTGGCACAACTCCGATAGGCTGCCCGAGACGACCTCAGGAGGCCCAAGCCACTGATGTCCTTTACTATGGGTTTGAGCGATTTGAGTGGTCTCACCTTTTCGGGCTTTCCACGCTCCAAGACGGCCCACGAGGTCGCCAAAATCGACGCAGGGTGGCCCAAGAGGCCACCGAGAGGGGCCACGCACAGCCCGAGAGAACCCAAAGACAGCCCAACACGAGGACCTCAAGACAGCCCAAGGGGATGGGGGAGGACGAGATGGAACCTGCCCCTATCAGCAGAGACCGTCGCACAAATCGCCCCGCGGCGTGAGATTGAAATGCCGCTGCTGGGCAGGCAGGGAACGTCGCACGAGATGAAAGGAGGGAAGACGGCGGGCGGTAAGCAGGAGGCAAGGGACGACGAGAGCGGATCCAGGGGGATAAGGACTGCAGAGAAAGAGGAAGGGGAGAGGTTGAGGATGAGCCCAAATGGGCTCGGCCCTCATGCACAACAAGCGCCATTCTCAAGAACTGCCTTCCTCAATTTCTCGACTGTGCCTCCAGCGTTCAACCTGACACATTTCGAACTGCCCGGCACCTGCCGATGAAGGGGTGCCGCGTGCCCGTGATCCACATGTCCTTGTTGGGAAGACCCCAGAAACGAAGGCCAGAGTCAGAGGGAGGGGGACGGGAGGAGGGAGGGCGAGTGAGGGAAGGCGGGGTACATGGAACGACGCCCCCGAAAACCTCGAGCCCTGATATCCGGCGACGCGGAAAAATTGCAGCATGGTGAGCATTGTCCTGTGACGTGCCCAACCCAGTTGCATCGAGTGACAAGAGGCGTTGGCCCAAACTTGCCAGAAAAATGACAGTGCAGGCGCCTTTATATGTTGCGCAAGCTACATGGGACGCGCTCACGTGGCCCGATTCACAGGACAACAACAGAACGACGAGGAGCGAAGGCCCAAGCTTCAGGAGGGCATGGGGGCGGGAACGAAAGGCAGGAGAAGGACGCGTGGGGGGGCCGCACCGCGGGGGGGGCGCACCGTCAGCGCGGCAGCAGCAAAAGGAAGGTGGCAGGGGGAAGCGGACGACGACGAAACTAATGGGAGGAGACCGAGGAATGTTGCTTTTGAAGATGCAGCGTTGCCTGCGCTGTGTCGCCGCGGCGCTCGAACAGACCTGCTTACAGCTAGTGCAAGAAGCGAGCGAGGCCTATCTCGCCCCCCCAGCTTTGCAGTCCCCCAAAGATGGCGAGGCCTCCTGGTGGTCCGCGTAAGACGTCACTCCGCTGGACCCCCCAGCAGCCCTCGAAAGTGGCGACTGTTTCGCAGATCGCACCCCCACAGGGATGGCGAGGTTTCATTTGAATATGAATAGGGCATCACTCCGCTGGACCCCCCAGCAGCCCTTGAGAGTGGCAACAGTTTCGCAGATCGCAGCCCCACAGGGATGGCGAGGCCTAACCTGAACCTGCGTAGCACGTCACTCCTCTAGACCCCCCCGCGTACTCCGCTGGACCCCCCAGAAGCCATCGGAAGTGGCGACAGTTTCGCAGATCGCACCCCCACAGGATGGCGAGGTCTAATCTGAGTCTGCGTAGCACGTCACTGCGCTGGACCCCCCAGTAGCCCTCGAATGTGGCAATTGTTTCGCAGATCGCAGCCCCATACGGATGGCGAGGTCGAATCTGAGCCTGCGTAGCACGTCACCCCGCTGGACCCCCCAGCAAGCCTCGAAAGTGGCAACGGTTTCGCAGATCGCAGACCCACAGGTATGGCGAGGTCGAATCTGAATCTGAGTAGGACATCACTCCGCTGAACCACCCAGAAGCCCTCGAAAGTGACAACAGTTTCGCAGATCGCAGCCCCATACGGATGGCGAGGTCGAATCTGAATCTGCGTAGGACGTCACTGCGCTGGACCCCCAACAGCCCTCGAATGCGGCGAAAATTTCGCAGATCGCTGCCCCATACGGATGGCGAGGTCGAATCTGAATCTGCATAGTACGTCACCCCGCTGGAACCCCCTGCAGCCCTCGAATGTGGCGACAGTTTCGCAGATCGCACCCCCACAGGGATGGCGAGGTCGAATCTGAATCTGCGAAGCACGTCACGTCACTCCGCTGGACCCCCCAGCAGCCCTCGAATGTGGCGACAGCTTCGCAATACGTAGCCCCCAAGGATGGCGAGGTAGGAGACAAGCCGGCACGCCAAAAAGAACGAGGTAAGAGCCAGGAGAGAGGAGATAGGAGGCGGAAGGAGAAGGAGGTGGAGACCGCAGTGCTCTACTCAAAACGAGTGCCCAACGCAGGAGTGCTGGGAATCACCTCTGGAGCCGTGGACCTCATCTTTCTGCGCCACTGTTCGAGCCCGACACCGGGCGGAAACCAACGCGAAAAAATTGCAACGCCCGGACCTCGGGGAACCTCGAGCCTCCTTGAGGCCCCGGGAGGCGCAGGCTCCTTCGGTGGCCTCTCATGGGAGCATCACATGTCTACGTGCTGAACCAAAACTAACAGACGCTAGCCGACGCGAATCGAAGCTCATCGACGCTAAATCGACGCGAGTCGACGCTGTATCGGTGCTTTCTCGTCGAATACCTGACGCTGGCGCACGCTAGTGCACCTTCGACTTCGATTCCTGGTGCCCACAAGGCTCCCACGTGCTGCTGCCCAAGGCGCCCTTGCCAGGCCTCGCGGAAGCCTCAGGGAGGCACCCTGCGTGGGGAGCCGCCCTGGCGCCCCCGCCCGCTCGGCCCCGCCCGCCCCCCGCCGGCGCGTCCTGGTCGCGCTCGACGTTGATGCGCACAGGGCGCCGGAGCCTCGGGGAAGGCAAGGGGCCGATTTTACTACTCGCGGTAGCTCCCGCGACCTGCCCCGCCCCCCCTCCCCCCCCCCGAGGCGGCGCCGTCTGGGAAGGAGCCATCGGCACGAAGCGCGACGCCACAGGCCTCCCCGTCCCTCCACCAGCCCTCCTCCCCGTCCCTCCCTCCCCTGCCCGGCCACGCCCGTTGTCGCCAAGGGATGGATAGTGGAAGACGATCTCTGTGAGACTCTTCTGCTGGAGGTGGGGGGGGGAGGACGGCGCAGCGCGGGAAGACCGCTGAAACAAGGGCAACAGCCTTGGGGGCGCGCTCGTGCAGGGCAGCACCGCGCGGCCAGCGCGCCGACGAGAAGGAGGGCTGCGGTAGGCGACGGCTTACATAGCACTGCCCCCGAACGAAACTCGGCATCAGAACCGACCGAGCGGCCGCAGCGCTGACCACGCCACGGCAGCTCGGCAGCCCTCTCATTGACTGACTACCTACCAGACCACACCAACCCAACCCGAAGACCCGAATTTCGGGTTGGGGGGGGTAAGGGCTCCACGCGTGTTTTTGTCGATGTTTCCCGACCCCCCCCACCCCTGGAAATCGAGGGTAAATCTGAGCCTTCGGGTTGGGTTGGGGTGGTTTGGTGGGTGGTGATTGACGGGGGAGGGAAAAAGGCGGAAGCAGAAGCGGAGGCGGAGGCAGAGGCGGAGGCGCGCCTACGACGTCCCCACGCGGGGCTACGCAGGCGGCGGCGGCGGGGCGTCGGCCTCTCTCCCGTGGCGTGGCGCGGGGGGCTGCCTGGAGGGAGGGAGGGAGGAGGAGGAGGGGAAGGGAGGAGGTCTGAACCTCCCTCCTCGGGGATCCACGAGCGCATGTCTTTCTTCGCGGCCATAGCGGGCGCTATGGGGGGCGTGGCGCTGGGGCTGCCTGGAGGGAGGGAGGGAGGGAGGAGGAGGGGAAGGGAGGAGGTCTGAACCTCCCTCCTCGGGGATCCACGAGCGCATGTCTTTCTTCGCGGCCATAGCGGGCGCTACGGGGAAAAAGGTGGGACGGGAAGGGGCACAACGTGGCGCCCCCGCCCCAGAATGCGGTGCAGGACGAACTGCAGCAGTGCCGGGGGACCCACTGGTGGGAGGGAGCGTTACGTTATGGAGGGGGGGTAAAGGGGCATAACGCGCGCTGTGGCCTACAGATGTGCAAATGTATGTGCACGAAGAAACAACTCTGCTGACCCGGGTCAATCCACACCCAGGTCAGTCGGCCTTTGCAGGATCATGCGCGATGGCCTGGGTCAAAGCAACCCGGGCTCTGCAGGATCCTGCAAGATCCGGCGCTCTGGCTGACCCCTGTTCGCTCACCCCCCTGTAGGGCTCCCGACCTCCTGACTCACCCCCCAGCCTGGCCCCCATCCTCCCGTAAAACAAGGCTAGGATCGGGATAAATCGCTCCAGAACGTTCCGGAGCGCTCTCAGAGCGTTCCGGAACGCTCTGGAGCGGCCGCGGCGCCCAATACATCCTCCAAACCCGCCGATTCTCAGAGATTTCGAGTTATCCCGATCCGATTTTGTCCCGATCTTCGCGTCGTTTTATCCCGCCTCGGGAGGGGACAGCAATTGGGGCCCCAGCCTGGACCCCTCAGATCTCCGGGTGTCCGCCTCCCTGTTCTGTGTCCTTCGGATCGGTTCCGCCGTGGCGACCCCTCGCTTATCCCCGGCAGCACGCACGGCGCGTCCTAGAACAGGCTGCATTGATGACAGCTCCAAAATGGAAGCCAAAAATCTGCAGGCATCGGGTGCGACCTCTTCTGCCCGAAAAACAAAAACGGAGCTCACGTGCCCCAGAAAAGGCCACGCCGCCCGCAGCGTCGGCGGACACGGGGCCGTGGCCAGGGCCACCCCACGACAAACACAGCACCAAGCACGCCCGCACACGGGCACCGCTTGGGGGGGGGCTGTGGATGCGGCGTCGGGGCGCCGGAGCGTCGGGACATCAGGCACGGCCAGGAGTCCTGCTCGCTCTTCTTGCACAGCTCCGGAGTGGTAATGTCCTGCATGTTGCCCTGGAGGCTGCAGATATTGCCCTTGTTTTGGGAGTCGTCGTGTGTCGGTAGTGTTACGTCGCGGGTTGGGCGTCGTCGTAACTGACGTTCCCTGGTGATCTGTGTTGGTGTCAGGATGTGTGGTTGTCTTGAGTTTGGCTTGGCCTTTACTGGGTAAGATACGAAACGATCATATAATATATGGTAGCGAATTTTAGATAAGATGAGACAACATACGACACCATAATATAATGTAAGAAATAAATGATATCATAAAGTAATACACGCTAGTATAATATAAGATTAGACGCCGCCTAGCGAGCAAACTCAGGTCGAAAGGCCACAGGACTTGCAAACATGCAACAATAAATCAATAAAACAAACTCGGGCCTGGGGCGATCCAAAGCACAGGGCCCCAGGACGGTACATGTCGACAGCTGAAGGCAAATTAGTCGGAATCGCTGCCCCCGCAATGAGGAATGCTGCGCGGCATCAGACCACAATTCTGCTCCTGACGCAGTCACTTGCTCCAAGCCTCCGCTGGTGTCGCAGATCATATCCCTCCGCCCCCGCTCTCGACGACGGACGACTCACGGCCCCCTCCTCCGCCGACGGCAGGCTGCGGGCGGAGGCTGTAGCCCCAGCCTGCCCGAGCTCTGGAGCTCGCACGCGCTCGAAGAGCGCAGCCATTCTCTTCTCATTGGGGAGGGGGGCCACTCACGCTAGCACTCGAAGCATCTTCAATCGAAATCACCTATCTGCCCGACCGGACCTCCACGCCGGTTCGGCAAGCAGGCACGACAGCATCCACAACTGCACGGACTCGGGGGTTAGGCGCAAGCCCCCGTCAAAAGCGGAACAGCACCTCTTCTCCCGTCAGCGTGGGAAATCGGCACTTACGCTTGAGCTTCACAGTTTTTTCTTGGCCCCAGGCCCAGCACCGAAGACAAAGCAGCTGGGCCCACTGGACTGTTGAGGCCCAGTAAAGCGACCGGCGTGCTGACCCCCCCCCCCTTCGCGACAGGAGGTGCGTCGCGCATTCGTCGCCCGTGCGCCGCCCGTGCGTCGGCCGCCGAAATGGCCAGCCGTCCTCTCGAACGTGCACGTCGCCCTCGCAAGGGGGCAATTTGGTGAGTGCGTCGCCAGCGCGGCGGACGCCCACGGGGCGGATCGCACGCGCGTCGCCCTCTCCACAGCCGCTGAAAAGGCTGGTTGCCTTCTGGAAACAGAAAGTCGCCCACGCTGCGGCCCTCTTGGCGAGAAAAAGGCGGCCGCTGGGCGACCTCGGCAGATCAGCAAATCCCCTAACATTACACATGCAGCGACGCTGCTGAACGCAGCCCGGCGATAGGCCAGCAGGTCCCCGCAGCCGCCGCCACAACCGCCGCAACCGCCGCCAGCGCAAAACTACCGCCGCCACGATCACCACAAACGGATGCGACCGCAACCACATCCACCGCGACGATAACGACCAACACCAATTACCGCCATCACCACCACCACGACCACCACGGTTCTCGCGACCGCCACAACGACCGACACCAGCACGATCACCGACGTGACCACCACCAGCCCGCCCACCACCGGCGGCACGACCGCCGCCGACGCGACCAAGGCGACGAACGCGACCACGACCATGATCACCAACATGACCATTACAGAAGCACCCGCCCACTCCGTCCTCCCCCCCCTCCCCCCCATTCCCCTGCTGGGCCGCCCTTGCCGCCGCGCCCGCCTCGCGCCCCTGCCCCTCCCCCCTCCTTTTCTCCTCGTAATCTTCCTCTTCCACCGCCGGCGGCGGGGCCGTTAGCGGAGGGCGGGGGCGCCGCTCGCGGCGACGCGCCGCGGCCGTGGAAGGGGGGCCGAAGGAGAACAGAAAATGAAGAGGGGCACGGGGCGGCAAGGGGAAAAAAACAAAGACGAGAGAACAGGGGGGAGGGACAGACAGAGGGTGGCCGGCAGAATGGAGGAGGAGAAGGGGAGGAGAGAGGGAGACGAGGCAGGAGAGAGGACGAAGGAGGAGGAATGACAAAAGAGGAGGGGCGACGACTAAGACAAAGGGAACTAACAGGGGCAAGCACCGCCCTTCCTGGCGCAATAGAGGACGCAGCCGCCGCCACTTGTGAACAGCGCAAGCACGGCGGGCCGACGGCCGTTGCGCATTGCTGCTCGGAGACATGCTAGGGGCGGGCAAAGTCGCGACTGCGTCGCGCATGCGTCGCGCGTGCGTCGCGCGTGCGTCGCGCGTGCGTCGCGCGTGCGTCGCGCGTGCGTCGCGCGTGCGTGCGCGCGTGCGTCGCGCGTGCGTCGCGCGGGTCGATCGTGCGTCGCGCGCTGGCAGGGGTGCGTCGCGCGCGGGTCGGGGTGCGTCGCGCGCGCGTCGCGCGCGCGTCGCGCGTGCGTCGCGCGGGCGTCGCACGGGCGTCGCTCGGGTCGTTCGCGCGTCGCGCGCAGGTCGCGCGCGAATCGCTCGAAGGGCGCCGCGGGCTCCTGACGGCATGTGAACTGCGCGGCCCGCTGGCGAAACAATCAAGGGATGCGCGCGGCAATCGTAGAAATAGCGAGACACACACGTGAGAACAACGAACGCGAGGAGACCAATAGACGACATGGAGATGCAGCGCGCGCGGACTAATCCATTTCAAGCGCACGCCCCGTCAGATTTTGAACATCGGTCCGTCGCTGCAGCAATTTGGCGACGTCTCGCCCGCCGATGCATTGGGGGGGGGAAAGAGGGCGGAAGTGAGGCGAGGGAAGGGCGGGCGGAAATGGGAGCGGACGGGCGAGGAGGGGGCGCGCGGGGGCGGCGCAGCGGCGGCGGGAGCGATGGAAGGCGATCGAAGGGGGGCGGCGGGAGCGAGGAGGGTGAGAAGAAGTTCCAGGAGAGTGGAAGGACAACGGGGGGTGAGTAGGGAGGCGGACAGGACGGCAGCCTGACACGAAAGAACTGAATACAAATTTCGCAAACGGG